TAACTGGATATGTGGCTCACGCTGCATCAGCTGCTGGATCAGTGAGTAAGCCTGCAAAGTGAAAATCCGTTTTGGGCGCGGAAGTGCATGAAATCTTAGATTTAGTGAATATCAAACTAAACTAGCACAAATTAGAACTCATGTTAACCTACTTTTTTGTAATTCAATTTCCGAGCATTATGCACAATCATTACGGCATAAATATCACTAAGTCGGATACACTCGTAAGCACGCTTATCATCTGCCAGTGCTTCCAGTTGGCTTATGGCTTCCGCTGGATCAGTTTCATATACCCTAAATTTCCAAGCTGTTAAATCTTCACAGGGGACGAACTTCAACTAGTGCCACGTCTAAAAGGGAAGGAAAAACAATTTTTCTAGGGAGAAAACGACAATTTTTTTGTATAGGATACAGTAGTTTGGCAAGGAAAGTTTAAAACGATAAGTAAAACAAATAATCATCGGCGACGTGCACCGGGTGGGCCCGTGCGATCATGCATTTTTGCAATATCTCGTGCTGTTGTAAGACCGGCTGGAATCACAACAGCTAGAATTTATGACATACTGGTTCTCGAAATTCAGAAAGTTGATCGTACAGCCACCACGTGCACTTGGGAAGGGTTTGAAAGGCGAAGCGCATTCGCCTCCTTTCCGCCCTCCCTTGTTTACTACGCTAATGGCCAAAAAATATTTCCGAATTCAAAAAAATGTTACGTTCTTATTTTGGCAAATTTTTTGACATATGCAATGGATCGGTTCAGTTCAGCCTCCTTTTCTGACAAATATGCTCCATTTTTCGGATTGTTTTCTTGTGCTTTTTTGATGCAACGCAGTGCTTCATTCAGGGCATCGCCGGCTTTTCCGTAGTCACGGTAATCATCGATTTCAACCTTCAAAATAAGCAGGAAGATTTATTATCATCGAATCCACAAAAAAAACAGTATTGCAGAAACTTACCTGGCATGAAGTTTTTATCTCAGATCCTCATTAAGGGTATCTGGGTAATTTCGTGCAAATAATTGTCTGGGTAACTTGTGTAA